AACCTCTATACAACGAAATGAGACTGCGACCACACAAAAGGCCACACCATCTTGGTCTTCATACCTTCGACAAAATCCTATTGTCTCCTGATTTGGAAAGGGGGTCCGAAATTTCCTGAAAAAATGTCATTACTGAGGAAAGTGTTATTTTCTCCATAAATTGTCCCGATGTCCCACTTCCTCAGTGTTCCACCTATCTTTTTCGAAAGCTGTCACGACGCTAACATCAGAACCCCAGTCTAGTGGTCTAGCTGTCTATCTTACCCCAAATATATGAATCCCTCGTTAGTATTTTTAAGCAATTCTCAATTAATCCTAAGGGGTAATCTTACTGAACTAAAATTTTCCCCAATATCATCAGTTCCTGCTCCCTATCGTTAACATCTACAAGACGCAGGCTCATTATTATAATGGATTTCGCAACTCACACTAAAGGAACCCAGAATTTTTGGGTTTCCTATACACATTCCTACCCACTTTGCTAACTAGGACATCTGAAAAAGTTAAACTACCATCCTTTTCTAGTTCCATGGTGAACTTTATGTTCCCGTCGATTTCATTTATCAACGCTAGGCTTTCTTTGCCATGTTGCCATACGGCAAAGTAGTCATCCATGTACCTAACCCATAATTTAGGTACTAAAATTGCGACTTTCTAATTGGGTCATGTAGTTATTTGCTGATCACCTAATTATGGACTCAGAATATCCGGGTTTGGGTCTTTAGTTAATAATAGAGTGTGAGTAGCTCCGCTTACAAGAATGTTGGTCTGCATCGACTCTACATCAAAATTAACAAGCAAATCTTTACCTTCTATTCTCTGTTCATCGACTAACTGGACGAATTGACAAGAATTCTTCGGTAGCTGAATTTTTCCACAATCATGAGTGGACTTTACGTTTCCAATCAACTTCACATAGCATTGGATGCCAAAAGGTATTTTCGTTCAGGATGTAGTGTACTGCAGTTGCGACAATGCCCAGGTCTAAATGGAAACATAAAGCCTACTCAAATCATTGTAGGAAAATCTAATTACCAGTCCTTCATATATATATATAAATATATATTTAGACTTGGGAAATATTGCAACTGCAGTACACTACACCCTGAACAAAAATACCTTTTGGCACCCAATGCTATGTGAAGTTGATTGGAAACGAAAAGTCTACTCATGATTGTGGAAAAATTCAGCTACCACTCTTTCCTCAAAATAGAGATACTACATCTCATATATCTGATCTACTGGTAACCTTGAAAATCAACTTATAAACGAAAAATAGCACAATCATTTCATTAAGGGCTTCTTCGAAATCCAGGCTCGTCATAGCTCTGCATTGATTCTCATCGTTCACATCTCAATATTTACACGCTTGGAGAAATGGTGTCACAAAGTGTTGGTGTGATTACACCTTTCGCTGGGCCCCAGTTGGGCGGGATCACCGTCCGGTTGTTATGGCCACCAATCTCAATTTCCTTCTTCTGGCAGGTGTTAACAAACAAGTGCCCGCCCAGTTTAACAGATTCCGGGTCGTCCGAGTTCCCGACTCTTCACATCGTAGATACAAATAGTAACTGGGTTTTGATGAGGCTGCTGAGATAACATTGTTGGGAAGACTTTCATGTCGAATGCAAGTGCATGAAGGAGATATTCGAAGGTCGATCTCGCCAGGAGAGGACGGTTGAATCGCGTTGTATGGCAACCGTTTGGCTTTTGTGTGACGTTCAGGTTGACGCAGTCCATGAGAATTTCTCCTTCATTTAAGGTGAAGATGGGATGAGCTTGCGTCCATCATTCAAAGGACATCATCAGAGCTGTAATTAATTATTGTAAAAGTATCATGTTACCAATGCCGAATAGCCTTTTTTGATCACTCTGATTTAGGAGCGGACCAATATGGAAGATTATTAGCGTATAATCTATATCTTTGCCTATTAACTTTATTTTGCTTAGAAATGGGTA